TTTGGTCAATAGATTTAATTAACCCAAACTTCTACTCTCTGCCAGTGTTTCTGGTTCATTCTGTATCACCACCCCTAGCACACTTAGGATCCAACAACATCTGGTTTCTTTTCTGTCTTTCTGATGTCCTGCTTTCTTACTTCTAGGTCTTTCTTTGCACATGCTCTTCCTTTCCCCTTCTACCACTGCATTCTCTCCTTCCTATATCCACTCTTCTTCTGGCTAACTCCTATAAAGCCTCAGCTTCAATGTCACCTCCTCCAGGTGGCCCCCCTGCTCTCCCTCCCCTGTCATCCTCTTATAACCTCATCACCCTCACCATCTTCAGGGAGGGCACTCTGTAGCCCAAGCCAGTGCACTTGAGTCTTGACTTGCCTGATGGCACAACTTTGGGCTGCCAACTCTCTCAGTGTTTGACTTTCCCCACCATTAAATGAGGACAATAGTTGGCACCTGAGCCCTTGAGATAAAGTTCAGGTTCACTGAGAATACCTTTCAAGTGCTTAGAGCCAGCCTGACCTGCAGGGAACCTTCCATCCATGTCAACTCCTACGTTGTTTACAGTAATAGAAGAGAGACCGTGACCAGGTTGATGGCCACAGCACCCCAGCACATGGCAAAGCGGCTATGCATATTTGCTAGATAAATGAATCTAGTCGCACAAACATATTAAGTGTACTGCCCCCAACCCTCATCACCTCGTGTCTGGACTCCGAAATGGGCTCCTGTCCCTCAGCCCTGATTCTACCCTTGCTCCTTTCTAAACCAGCCAGAGGGATCTTTTCCTAACTGAAGTCAGATCATGTTGCTCTTTGACTTTCTTGTCTCACTTGGAATAAAAACCAAAGACCTTGCAATGAATCCCAAACCCCTCGTGGCTTGGTTCCCCAGTATCCACCATTACCTCATCTGCTACCTTCCCTTTGCTCACTTGGCTTTGGCCACATTGGCCTCTGGGGTGCTCCCCAAACACACCAGGAATGCTTTTGCTTCAGAGAGTTTGCCCTGGAAGTTTCTTCTGCCTGGATCATTATTTCCAGAGAAAATTGCCTACGCACACCTTCACCTCCTTCGTGTCTTGCTCGGATGCCACGTTCTCAATAGGGCCTGCATAGAGCTCTCCATTTAAAGTGAAGCCCGGTCCACACTCCCCGTCAGCACTCTCACTCTCTTTCCCTGTTCAAATTTTCTTTTTCCCATATCGTGTAACACCTTCTAACTTAACATTGTAATTAACTGATTTATTATTATGCTTATTGTTTATTTTTTGACTTTCCCTTCTAAAATGTTAGCACTACAATGTAGGGACATTTGTTTATTCACAAGCACTTATAACAGTACCTGGGCCTGGCATGGTGGCTCACGCCTGTAATCCCAGCACTTAGGGAGGCTGAGGTGGGAGGATTGCTTGAGCCCATGAGTTTGAGACTAGCCTGGGCAACACAGTGAAACCCCACCTCTACAAAAACGACAAATCTTAGCCAGGCATGGTGGCACTGGCCTGCAGTCCCAGCTATTCAGGAGGCTGAGGTGGGAGGATCACCTGAGACAGGCTGCAGTGAGATGTGACTGTACTATTGCACTTCAGATTGGGTGACACAGTGAGACCCTGTCACGAAAACAAACAACAAAAAACAGTACTTGGCACACACAGGTGCTTAATACATATTGTTAAATGATTACTTATAGATATACACATACATGCACAGCTACACATAATTTCTTTCTTTCTTTTTTTTGAGACAGTGTTTCACTCTTGTTGCGTGGCCTGGAGGGCAATGGCGTGATCTCAGCTCACTGCAACCTTCGCCTCCTGGGTTCAAGCGATTCTGCTGCCTCAGCCTCTCAAGTAGCTGGGATTACAGGCACGTACCACCACGCCCAGCTAATTTTTTGTACTTTTAGTAGAGACAGGGTTTCTCTATGTTGATCAGGCTGGTCTTGAATTCCCAACCTCAGGTGATCCACCTGCCTCAGCCTCCCAAAGTGCTGGGATTACAGGCGTGAGCCACCACGCCTGGCCAGTAGCTATGCGTAATTTCTGGTGTAGTTACTATGGTTTAACAGGGGCAATTCTTCCACATGAGAAAAGCAGATTTTTCCAGTTGCAGTTTTGACATAATGTCCTCGATAGATTTCATTTCAATAGATTTTTTTCAATGAAAGGGACATTGCACAAAGTCCCTTCTTTGTGCAGCCTCAACGTTTTCTTTGGTGGTTTGGATGCTCTGCCACCTACGCTGTGACTCTGTGCATGTGGTCTTGATGGAATGTCCCAATTAGTTATGAGATGTGCGCAAGCAGCACAGGGGAATAGCTTGTCAGTTCAAGTCTCACCAAGGAAGGCTTCTCATTAGCAGTTCTCTTGAAATTCTTCTTGGGCCGTCTCTATCCTCTGGCAACTCAAAATAACATGCTCACTTATAGTTTCTTTTGTCAATCTTTTTCCTTATTGATTGCTAAAAATAAATGGTTATTTCTTAAAAATATAATGACAATGGTCATTTTGACTGAATATTTCGATCCTCACTCCAACAATTATATGGCACATATAATAATTTTTGCCTGACTTCTGCTACAAATAAACTATGATAAGAATATGTTAACTGTGTAGAATAAGTTACAGGGCAGTAGATCTGGGCTCATTATTAGAAGTTTTAATAAGAAGCTGAGAAGGATATAGAATGAGCCTACTCTCAACATGTAGAATTTCCTAATCATTGGAGATGATTTATATGAAATGCCCAGAAAAGGCAAATCTATGGAGGCACAAAGAAGGTGAGTGGTTGCCTGGAGCTGAGAGTGGGAGTAGGGAGTGACTGCAAATGGCAAAAAGGCTTCTTTAGAGGCAATGAAAATACTCTAAAATCAGATTGTGGTAGTGGTTGCACAACTCTGCAAATTTACTAAAAATCACTGACTTATACGCTAACATGGGTGAATTTTATGGCATGTGTGTTAGTTTGCTAGGGCCACCATAACAAAGTTTCGCAGACTGAGTGGCTTAAACAGGAGAAATGTATTTTCTTGCAGTTCTGGAGGCTGAAAATCAAGGTGTTGGTCTGCAGGGTTGGTTTCATCTGAAGGCTGGGAGAGAAGGATCTGTTCCAGGCCTGTGTCCTTGGCTTATAGATGGCTGTCTTCTCCCTTCATCTTCACATCATATTCCTCCTGTATGTGGCTGTGCTCAAATTTCTTCTTTTTGTAAGGATGCTAGTCATATTGGATTAAGACCACCTTAATGACCTCATTTTAGTTTAATTACATATAGATATACACATGCATGCTAAAGATGTTTAGGTATTATCTCCAAACACTTACATTCTGAGACACTAGGGTTTAGGACTTCAACATATATATTTTGGAGGGAACACAATTCAATCCGTAACAGTATATAAATTATACCTCAGTAAGGCTGTTAAAAATAGCATATATATGTTTTTGTTTTTGTTGTCTGAGACAGAGTCTCACTTTGTTGCCTAGGCTGGAGTGCAGTGGCACAATTTTGGCTCACTGCAACTCCTCCTCCCAGGTTCAAGGGATTCTCCTGCCTCAGCCTCCCAAGTAGCTGGGACTACAGGTGTGCACCATCATGCCTGGCTAATTTTTATATTTTTGGTAGAGATGGGGTTTCATTATGTTGGCCAGGCTGGTCTCGAGCTCCTGGCCTTAAGAGGTCCATCCACCTCAGCTTCCCAAAGTTCTGGGATTATAGGCATGAGCCACCATATCTGGACAAATAGAACTTATATTAATTGAATACTTACTAGGTTCTAAGTCCTGCCAACATGTATCAACAACTTTAAACACATACATGCACACACACACATGCACACACACACAGACACACACCTCCTTTATTTCCCAATAATTTCTCATCTACAAATTTATAAGTGTTAACCCCTCCCATTTAGCAAGCGACACTCAACTTATAGGAAGCAAAGCATTTATACCATTACGACCTCTCTCCTGTCATGTCACACACCCTGAATTCACTCAACTATAAAATGAGAAATTAGTATCAAATCTGAAGAAATATGTTACTAGCACTAGATCAACACTCTCCTTAGTCTCAACTTTCCAAGGATCACTAGTAAGTTCGAAGGATCTATGAAAACTCTGATGACCTTGTAATGCCCAACAGCATCTCCCAGGCGTAGTCTTCCCAGAAGACTGTAACACCCAAGACCCTCTCCACATTAAGACATGCTTGATAGTTCTCTGCTGATTCACGACACCACCCCAGTGGTTATCATAACAATCTGTAACTCATAATAATCAGTGAGAACCACTGTTAAGACAAAAAGTAGCCAGGTGCTGTGGCTCATGCCTATAATCCCAGGACTTTGGGAGGCCAAGGTGAGCAGATCACCTGAGGTCAGGAGTTCGAGACCAGCCTGACCAACATGGAGAAACCCCGTCTCTACTAAAAATATGAAACTAGCTGGGCATGGTGGTGCACGCCTGGAATCTCAGCTACTCGGGAGGCTGAGGCAGGAGAATCACTTGAACCCAGGAGGCGAGGGTTGCAGTGAGCCAAGATCGCGCCATTGCACTCCAGCCTGGGCAACAAGAGCAAAACTCCATCTCAAAAAAAAAAAAAAAAAGACACAAATTATTTTTACTTAGAATATAGCACTGGGCCACTGGTATTGGAAGCCTCCATCTGCATCATGACATTCCCAGTCCAATGGTTCCCAATATCCCACATAGAGTTTTCTGGGACCTTCACAAATCCAGTTGGAAAATGACAACAATGCAGGACTCCACAGTGGCTATCCAGAAAATAGGATATGACAAACACTTCCCAGCCTCAGTATATGCTAATCCTGAAAAACCAACAAAAGAATTCTAGATCAAAAGTATCTTTCATAATATTTTTCATAAAATACATGCCCAGTTTTCATTTACCATGTACCAGGGACTGTGCAAACTACCTTACATGCAGTTTCTCATTTAGTCCTCAGAGAAGGAAATGGAAGCTTAGAGAAGTAACTCACCCTGCAGGTCGGTCTGTCTGATGATAAAACCTTTGCTCTTAAAGGGAATTCCTAGCTATTCATGACTTGCTTGTGAACGTCCTGAGCTGTTCCTGTTCTCAATCATTCTTGCTGCTAGAGAAAAAAAAAGAATGTATAAATGTTAAGAGAAATTAGGCCAGGTATGCTGGCTCATACCTGTAATCCCAGGACTTTGAGAGGTCAAGGTGGGAGGATCACCTGAGGCCAGAAGTTCAAGACCAGCTTCGATAATAGAGCAAGACCCTGTCTCTACAAAAAATACAAAAATTAGCCAGGTGTGGTGGTGCATGCCTGTAGTCCCAGCTACTTGGGAGGCTAAGGTGACAGGATCATTTGAGTGGGGGAGTTCGAGGCTGCAGTGAGCTGTGATCATGTCACTGCATGCCAGCCTGGGTGACAGAGCAAGACCCTGTCTCACTAAAAGAAAAAGAGAAAAGAAAAATTGGAAACAATCTAAATGTCCAATAATAAAATAATAATTATGATATAATCATAGAATGGAATAATATGCAGTTTTATTGATGACGTTTTTAATTATTCTAGATAAAGTTCATGACATGTAATATTAAGCGAAGAAAAGCAAAAAACAAAACCAGTTACATGGCAGTTCACAGAAAAAGAAATGCAGATGGACAATAAGTGTATAAAAAAATAATCTAACTCAGAATTTTTAAAAATGCAAAGCAAAACTATTAATAATACACAGCCTGGGCAATATGGTGAAAACTTATCTCTACAAAAAATTTAAAAATTAGCCAGGCATAGTGGCACACACCTGTGGTTCCAGCTACTCACGAGGCTGACGTAGGTCACTTGAAACCAGCGGGTGGAGGCTGCAGTGAAATACTTTTGTGCCACTGCACTCCAGCCTGAGCCACACAGTGAGACTTTGTTTCAAAACAAACAACTACTCAAACAAACAAAATTGATGAGATTCGCAAAGAGTTGAGCAGGGTGTAGAGAAGCAGGTACTCTAATGCACAGTTGTTGAAATATTATTTGGTACAAACTTTCGAGATAAATTTGACAATATTATCATAAATTTAAAGTGCAGACTCTCCTTGACCTAGCAATTTTACTTCTAGAAATTTATCTTGTAGAAATACATACATATGCAAAGATGGTCATCATACCACTGATTGTAGTAGCAAAATAATTAGAAACAAATGTTTATCAATAGCCAAATGATTAAATAAATCATAGAACATTCATATAGTGGAACATATGCAGGTCTTAAGTGATGCAGAGTTGTATGTGCTTATTTGCAAAGATAGCTACATCAGTCAAGATCCAGCCAGGAACACAAAACTCATGTCAGCTAATTCAATAGGTTGAATTTAATACAGTGGTCCTCCCATATTCACAGTTTTCCTTTCCATTTCAGTTTCAGTTACCTGTGGTCAACTGCAGTCCAAAAATATTCCATGGAAAATTCCAGAAAGTTTCATAAATTTTTAAAGTGTACACTGTTCTGAGTAGCAGGATGGAATCTCTTGCAGTCCCGCTCCATCCTACCCAGGGCATGAATAATCCCTGTGCCCGGCAGATCCAGGCTGTCTGCATTACCCGCCGGTTAGTCACTTAGCAGTCAGCCATTAACAGATTCACTGTCATCGTATCACAGTGCTTGTGTGCAGGTAACCCTTATTTTATTTAATAATGGCCCCAAAGCGCAAGAGTAGTGATGTTGGCAATTTGGAGATGCCAAAGAGAAGCTGTAAAGTGCTTCCTTTAAGTGAAAAGGTAAAAGTTTTTGACTTAATAAGGAAAGAAAATAAATTGTATGCTGAGGTTGCTAAAGGTCTTCCTCAGTAAGAATGAATCATCGATCCATGAAATTGTGAGCAGCTTATTGTTATAATGGTTCTACTTTATTATTGTTGTCATTAATCTCTTACTGTGCCTAATTTATAAATTAAACTTTATCATAGACATGTATGTTTGGGAAAAAACATAGTGCTTACAGAGTTTAGTTCTATCTGAAGTTTCAGGCATCCACTGGGGGTCTAGGAATGCAGCCCCTACAGATAAGGGTGAGGACAACTGCATAGGAATCAATTACAAAGGTTTAGAGGCAAACCTTTTTGTATCCTGAAGGTGGTGACCAGGGACATGGGCTGCCCTGCAGGCTTTGACACAGGCAGGTGGTGAGTGAAGCGAGCAGGACCAAGATTACACTATCCAAGACCACATCTTCCTCTCTCTCTGCTTCTTTCTGTGTATTAACTTCATTCTCTCTCTGTACACCAGCTTTCTGCTCTTCTCCATGCACATAGCTGTACCAGCTCTAGTTCAAGAACTAGCAATGGCTGAAGATAATCCCAGGAGACAGTCTGAGTAATCTAGGTTGGGTTAAGCATCCACCTAAGTCCAATCAAAGCAGGGGGAAGGGTCACATAATACAAACATGGCCTTTGTGAGTGGAGGGTTGTAGTTCTCACCAGAGGATCCCAGAATGGAGAGATCCTATCTACTACTGACAACGTGGGTGTCTTAGTTCATTTTCAACTGCTAAAACAGAATAACACAGACTGAGTAATTTACAAAGAAAAGGCATGTATTTGGCTTATGATTCTGGAGGTTGGGAAGTCCAAGGGTATGGTACTAGCATCTGCTTGGCCATCTGGTGAGGGTCTTCTTGTTCCGTCATCCCATGGATGAGAGCAGAAAGGCAAGTGAGTGCATGAGACAGAGAGAAAATGAGGGCCAAACTCATCTTTCATCAGTCCACTTTCACAATAACTAACACATCCCTGAGATAACAGCTTTAATGCATTCATGAGGCTCTGCTCCCAAAGATCGCACCCAACACTGTCACAATGCAACCAAATTTCAACATGAGTTCTGGAGGGGACATTTAAACCATAATGATGAGCAACTGCATTGGTACTAACGCCATCTAACAGAGTAGAGAATTCATGATAAGGAGAAGATTGAACTAGGAGATGATAACTTAAGCTTGGAGCATGCTCAATTGAGGTACCAGCCTGCAAAACATCCAAATATATCATTTAGGAGGTAACAGAATGGAGAGTCTAGGGTGCAGCATGGGAATTTGGGCTAGAAATCTAGACTTGCGACAATTAGCATAAAACAGTGTTTGAAACCACGGGTAAGTAAGAAGAAAAGAAGATGGTTCAGAATAGAACTTTAGAGAATGAAACACATTTATAGAAAAAACAGAGGAAGAGGAAATGCTGAAAGAGACTGAGAAGAATTGGCCAAAAGGACTGGAGGAAAAAAAAGAAACAAAAAAATCATGGTGAAAGAAAGAGAGAGAAGAAAGAGAAAGGAAGTTTCAAGTAAAAGAAAGTGGTCAATTTTGTAAAACGCTTCTGAGACGTCATATAAAATAAGCCCTGAAAACTGCTTGTTTGGATGTGGCCCCAAGAAGATGTCTGATGATTTGGGAATCAAAGTGAAGGAAGAAGCCAAATTGCAATGCACTTAGGAAATGAATTCCTCATGTTATAATTCCTTTGCCACATTCATGAAACAGGTAAATGACAAGTTTTGTATAACATTAAATAGAAGAAATAAGCCAGTGTGCTTATACATCACGGTTCTTTCACCAATTCCGCCCCCTCTTTTTTTTCTTTTTTGAGACAGTCTTGCTCTGTCGCCCAGGCTGGAGTGCAGCGGCACGATTTTGGCTCACTGCAACCTCCACCTCCTGGGTTCAAGGGATTCTGCTCCTTATCCTCCCAAGTAGCTGGGATTACAGGCATGCACTACCATGCCTGGCTAATTTTAGTATTTTTAGTAGGGATGGGGTTTCACTATGTTGGCCAGACTGGTCTTAAACTCCTGACCTCAGGTGAACTGCCTGCCTAAGTCTCTCAAAGTGCTGAGATTACAGGTGTGAGCAACTGCGCCTGGATGCAAATCCCTTTTTATAGGGTAACTTGGACTAATTTCATCAGTTCAGAACATTTACAAAGGCCAAATCTCAGGTTTTTACTCTGAATTCACAGAGCAAATCACAGAGGTCCCCTTGGGATTGGTGATTCTTGTATACTCCCAGTCTAGAGAAACATCAGATCAGGGACCAGCCCAGCTACAGTCTTTAGGCTGTATCTGGCCTGCCGCAGGTTTTGTATGGCTTGTGAATAAAGAATATTTTTTACATTTTTTCAACGTTTGATAAAATATCAAATGAAGGGAAATATTTTGTGATACATGAAATTCTATGGGATTCAAATTTCAGTGTTTTGAGAACATAGTGCTCCAATTTTATTGGAACTCAGCTCTCAGCTATGTCTGACTGCTTTCATGCTCTAATAGCTGAGTTTAGTATCTACAACAGAGACCATAAAATGCTTACTCTCTGGCCCTTTTCAGAAAAAGTTTGTGGATCCCAACTCTATAAGATTGGACAGGGCAGTTCTGGGCCTTTAGATTGTCCTTTGGAGATATAAAACTAGCTAGTTATGGTCACCAAACCTCAACAAAAAGCATACTATATATTTGTCTAATCTCCTAACATTTTAGGTATAGGAACAATGCTAGCATAACTAGGCCACATGAATGGCCCCATTTTAGGCCAAATCTAGGGGTTTTCACTGATAACATGTAGTGAGCTATGTACTTATTTGTGATGTCTTGGAACACAGCCAGACAAGACCTTGTGCCTGGCATTGGGACAAGCTAGAATACAGAGAGGAAGAACCAGGAGCTGTAACTAGACTCATGCCTTGGTGTGGAACAGTCCCAGGACAGGCCCTGGAAGTTAAGTGGCAGGGAATAACAAAATGCTGTGGAGCGTTTTCTAGATGTGAGGCTTCCCAAGGGCTTTACACACACTTATCAGGATAAACAAGATGAATGCCTTCTCTTTCACCAAGAAGTTTACCATCTGAAGACTGGGAATATAAATCTAGGGTTAAAATCCTAGGTTCACAGCTGGACCTGGGAGATCACCCATTTTCACTGTAAAACAGAGGCAAGCAAGATGCTAAGGAAGTTTACAGGAGGGTGAGCTTACTGGCAGGCAGGCAATTTCAGCCTGGAAGGATGGAAATATCTTAACAAAAGAGCGGGGAGTGTGACAGACAAGAAAGTTCAGCGTACATTTAAGGAACAGCATGAAGATC